CTGGAATTTATAATCTCTATAAATGCAAGAGAACATATCATATTCCACTAGTGCGCAATTTGATAATTTCTGTCATCTGTAGCGCTCATAAATACCATTACAAGGCTGCGTTCAATGCTAGATTTCAAAAATCTTATATACATTTCACAAACAATAATTGTAATTCTTTTACAAGGAAACTCAACATGAAAACAGGCTACATAAAAGGAAAGAAAAAAGCGTCGCTGTATTCCCTCTATCATCAATAAAATTGTTGAAGCCAACAAACCAAATGATGATACGGACGGGATGACTACATTAGTCAAAAAACGACGGATTAAAGGCAGCGTCAAGATTGGAAGAACTTGGAATAGACTCTGCGGTACGATTTATGAAATAGCATATTCATCAATAAGTAAATAAACAAATATTCCATCATTCGCCGACTCAACATGGCTGGTGATATTAAATAATTAATTGATAACGATAGAACTAGTCTATATTTATATTTGACCTAGGAGATAACGAAACAAGTTGCACAACAAAACCAGATAAAACTTGAACTTAAACGTAACATTTAACGAGACATAAACACCGTGAGTGTGTGCCGCGTACAAGATATCTCATAACCTACAGGCGTTGGACCGATTTAGTTCATATTCTCCTTAATATATCACACGGCTAACTGATATGATTTTGGTAGTCAATAATAAAGGTTAAAGATCAAAGGTCGCACTCGACCACCTTTCAAATAGAATCAATGGTGTGTACAAAATATCTCAAGGGAAATAAGTATTGGGGATACTACCTATGTGATCCTCAGCTCTCTTTTAGTCGTTATTTTGAAATGTGCTTCAATACATTTATGATATTGAGATTTTTTAGCGTATACTTTTAAATCCTAATCGATATCATCGTTTTTGTACATGTTTTACTTTGCAACAGGAATCGGGCAAACTTGAACTGAAGGAAAAGTTCTTTGGCTGGTGATACTACATCACCGTTATTCTGGCCGAGACCCTGGTATTTATTATCCTGGTAATAAATTTAATACTTCACGAAGTTGTTTATTGGAGATAACATAGGTTATATATAATCTATAGTAATTACTTGTATACATTTGTAGTATACATGTGACCAACTAGGGATCGGCGTAAAGTAAGGAGTGATCACCTAATTGACCTGTTATCCACGGAATGTTCTCGATACTAGTGTAATATAACCTGAGATTTCAACATTGGATCCCACGTCAGAATTTGATTGTCATGTTATACGTCAGGTGAAAATTGTTCAGTAAAATTCCTTCCTACGTTTAATTTTGAGTTAAAATTAGGACAAAACGTAGCTTTTATGAGTTAGAAATTATAAATTTTGCTTGCCAGGGCTCGAAGGAATAAACTTGAAACACATTTTGATAAAATATCTTATAAAATGAAAACTTATCTGAGATCCTCTCTTTACATTTTTATAGGATTGGAAAGATCAAGAACTTTTATATAATTACTTGGCCGAAATTGTATAGGAACTGGAAGTGATGTCACAATTGATTTATATTGTTGATTTATATACTGTATTGTTAATATTGTATATTTGAGACCGGTGTAGAGGATCATAGATGATAATATACTGGGAATAAACTTAACTAAATTTGATTTATCTTACCGATGTCACTTAGAGTATTACAACAAAAAAGACAGCTTTCATCAATGAGAAGCCATTTGATGTTGGTCAATATCTGATGGTGAAAATATGATTAGTCATAATATATTGAAACGACTATCGCGGTTTAGGAGGCCTATCCATTGAGAACTTCAATATCAAAAACATTGGTATTTTGTACATGGTTCATACTTAATTATCGTTTTATAGAATATATTTGATATGAAGTGGTATACAAGATCAATGTTGATTCAATTTCAAACGATGGCATCTACAAAAAAAACACAGGTATCGCAACAAATTTAAACCAAAAAAGATATGATATACTGAGGGAAGCAACATCGACTGATGAATCGTTATGCTAAAACGCAATCATATCCATTTTTTAGCTCAAACATGTCATTGAAACAGACAATATCGACAAAATCAAGAACTTGTCTGTGGGCCTTTTTGAAGGAATGTGGAAACTGTTTAGAATCATTATGTAAAAGTGCAATCATATCCATTTTTTTTTCAGCTCAAACGTGTCCTCATTGAAACCGACAATCTCGACAAAATTGTCATCAACGCCGACATTCTGAAGTGTGAGGCAGCTATGGACGTTTTGGAAAAACTGGATATTGTTATAACCGGTTCTTCAATTGAACGGATCCCGACAACCCTAGAACAGGTGGCGAACAGCGTTTGGATAGCTCTTTTGTATAGAGCTCCTACACAAGCGGTACAACACTGAGCTATGACACATACTTATATGTCAGAAATGATAGAGACAGTGTCCTAATATCAAATGTTTGATTACTATTTACTTACATTAACAGTTATAACATACCACGACTTTATTCAATATAGCAATAACCGATATATTTCTCATTCTTTATTAAATCCGTTCATTTCACTTGTCATTCCGAACATTAATTGTGCTTTTTCGACTGCAAGCGAAAGAAATAGTGTAGATATAGATATCATATTTCAAGCATATAAATATATGCATTATTAGCAAAAATAGCATAGTTCCGTTGTTTCTTGTTGTTGATATATGTACATATTAGCTTTGTTCAAGGTACGCTTCTGTACATTTATTGCGTGGTGCGCTTTATCCGCTTTATTATTTCAATTAAAAAATGGAGGACGACCCAAAAGTTTAAGATGAAATAAGACATTTTCTCGGGTTTGAATTTCTGAATAGATAATTGACACCCACTATCAAAAAATTGCACTGATTGGATAAAGATAAAATAAACGTTAGTTTTAGCGAAATATCGTTTTGGCTTATCATGATTTGTTAAAATGTTAAAAAAATGTCTTATGGAATTAGATGGTTTCTTTATTTTGCAACAATGATATATCTAGATAATATATGAACATAGGATGAACATTTCACGGGTTTCTCATAAACCACAACTCAATTTCTTAGCCACTTGATTTCATGTTTTGAAGAATTCTCAGAAAATTTCGAAATGCTAAAAAGTTCGGTCACTTTTTAACTATAAATTAAATCATAAAAAAAATCCTTAATAAAGAGAATGATTTTGCAGTCTTACCTCAGTCTACATGATATCTAACTAAATTGTGAAGTTCTTCGTATTTTTGTTCGAAGAGGAGCATTGTACAAGGAACGTCCCCTTTTTTGTCCAAACCCAACTTCATCCTCACAGTATTCCACACCCGCAACCCCTTCATCGTGTATATCGAATAATGATGATAATTAACTACATAGTTATCAAACGATTCTTCAATCCTAGCTAAATTCACAATAAAAGTAATAATTCGAGAGTTGTCTCCCCTCTCACATCAAAACCAGGCCTTGGTTGTTCGAAGGCTCCATTGTAGATACGTATTAGTGAAAATTTTCGAATAATTAAAACACAACTGGAAACACTCCTTAAAATTGTTGTAATTTTGTTAAGTATACATTTTGCTTTCAACACTCTTGATCGTTTAACAGCATTTTCTTTTACCTACAACAAGTAAACTTTAACCTTTGAGTAACCGGTGCCAGGTCATTTTGTGGAGCTTTTCAAAGCTAGGAGATGGAAATGAAAGGAAATTGACATATGGAACTTAGTTCCCAGCACTGAAATTTTATTGAATTATATAACCAGAACTTTGATTTATCAAGACAGCGACAGTTACATGAGGTCGTCCATACACATATATAATTTATCATACTTGTTTTCATGAGCACGGCATTATCGTTACATAAAGTAACGATGAAGAGGTAGAATTCGAAGTATAATTAATGATATCAAACATCTGACAATTATGACGTAATTTTTACTGTTGTGTACGAGATCCAGAAGGGAGATTTCACGACAACAACATGTGATGTCCCCTCCAGACCACGTACAAGTCAGTGATTATTGTTTGCAGAGGAACGTTCAATTAACAGGAGATCATCACATCTGTTCCTCTTGATCTGTAACAATGTCAGTAAAAACAAACCTATTGTAGTTAAAACAAATTTAAGCATTGAATTGCCTTGTAATGACACTTATTTAATTTGTGACAGAGCTTTGTAGGTAAACACGACATGCTGTATATAGCATGTATGGTATAACAATATATATCAATGCTGAAGTAAACCGTTGGTAAAAGATCTTATGCACAAAATTATAAAGGTAACATCCGGAACGCCACCCTCCACTTGAACTACAAGGCTCGTATGATAAAACTGTATACACGTCCCCGGATCTACTTATGTATATACCGTATTCATCAGCGCAAAATTAATACACACGTACAAACATATTTGTATAAAAACGAAGATGCGGTCAAGTGACAAATGACCAGTGGAGCGGTTTGTATGAGGTATGCTCGTTTGTCTTGTAGTACGTAATGCCAGGTAAATATTTGAAGCATAGACATATCAGAACACATCAGAACATAATATGAATTCGAAAAATAGGTTTAATTAAATTCCAAAAGAAAGAAAATAAGTGTTCGAAAGGGAAAATGGCTGTGAGGTCATTTAAGGTGATTGAGTGAAACACAGAATCCAACACCCACTTGACCAGAGTGACGTCACGGTGTGTCCAAGTACAAACTGGACAGGTGTGGGATGCTATCTTGTATATGATGGATGGGCATGGTTTGATGTAACGTCAGTGATATTTACCTGTCCTAGGTACACAAACATACAGGTAAACCTATAGTATACTTATATGTACTGCCCGGGGGTCCGTCAGTCTAGCAGCTCTCTGGCTTGCGGGATTAGCCATGTCTTACTAATATATACTTCCGTGTTTTTCATCACTTATAATTTCGTCAAAGGCCACTGAAGATACATGAAAGGAATATGGAAAATATAAACGATTTTTAAACAGTGGTTTTGAGGTATTTGGTCGATATTTGTGTCCGTAACAATGGCCAGCAGCGGTCAGCCCCAATACCAGAGTCCAGTACTGGACATGTTCATGTGGTGGATGTTTATTTCTTGGATGGTCAGATACACGATGGCCAGTAAGTAAAGACAACATTTACTTTATCCTTTTGTTATCGAATAGAATATTTTACAATTTCCATAGTGTGGACACATAAGTAACACATATAAACATTGTCATCTAAATCTTATTTTCGTTAATTCTTTAAGTTCTCAATTTTTATCACTGTTCTCACATATATCACAAAACGATGTACCTTGATCAACTTCCAACCTTTTTAATTAATGTTTTTCCTGTGTATACTGAAACATCTGAATGATTTACGTTATTTTTCGCTCTGCTAACTCACATTATCATGTGACTTTGGTAAAAAAAAACCCCATTAATTTTCAATATTTAACTGTACAAAATTAATGTTCCTCCGTTAAACGGTCTCCCTCCGCCATTATGATCTTGATAAGGACCATTACTGGTTTGTAACAAATAAATTAATTTTTGTTCAGTAATTAGCTAATTAGCTAGTAATAGTTTTGTCTTATCTGAAACTACATGCAGATACAACGTTAAAACTTATGTTTTGCCAAATTACATCATTCACACATAAAAAAAACTACACATGTATCTTCATTAATTTACACATGTATGTCCATTAAACTACACGTGTATCTGAATTGAATTACACGTGTATCATTGTACTGCTTATTTTCATTGTGCTACGGGTGCATCTTTTTTATGCTTAACGTGTATTTCACTGTGCTACATGTGTATCTGCATTGTGCTACACGTGTATCTACAGTAAACTCCACGTATCCAAATTATAATATACCTTTATTTACATTAAAGTATACACGAGTCCACATTTTACCTTACGTGTACCTACATGTTTGACTTCACAATTATGTATGTGTCAATTTACATTTTGTTACACGTGTATCCAGTTAAACAGGAGTAATATATGTACATTTATCACGGAACCGTTAGTGGCACATGTATTTACAAGTAGCTACACGTGAGGAACACGTGTAATTAGTTACAGGTGAGTGGTACATCTAATAATAATTTGCTACACGCAAGTGACACGTAAATACTTTGTTACATAAATGTGGTGTCATGCGCATTTTATTACTCTTTTCACTGACAAAACGTTGCAATATTTGTTCTGTAGTTACTCAAGTGTTACAAATAAAATTACATATGTGTTGCAGGTGCATCTTATTGTATTTTGTGAAAAACGTATCTATTTATGGGTTTGTGACATTTTTATCAAGTTACACGTGCGTTACACGTGCGTAACAGATACCCGTGTACATCACATATCATAGAATGTGATTTATTCCTACTTTCAATTATCATGACAGAGAAATTGTCAGAGAATGTATATATTAGATGTGTATGGACATTATGGAACATTTTAAAGATTGGTTAAAAAAAATAAAACATTCAATAAAATAGAACCCCCTCAATTATGTATATGTGTACATGTATATGTTTACATGTATATGTTTACATGTATATGTGTACATTTTCGAATCCTCCAACTAACCTCAGTGTTATTAACCGATTTATCATATCCTTACTTGTTTATAACGTCCACTTGAATATCTATAAAATAACAAATCCTAGTTTATTAGTCGATTCTATCGGTCTCTGACCGTTACGTTCATGTACATATAAGCAATGAGTCATCGACTGTTGACTGATGAGAAAAGAGTTTCAAAAGAAATGAAATAATGAACAACAGAAAATATTATTTTGTCCAATAGTTAGACTTGTATTTCTTTTCGTGGTCTTCTGTGCGTTTCATGTCTTGACTTTAAAGAGAATTTTATGGTTATGTTACTATATGTACGTAATACAGTACATGCGGATGAGGTTATAGATTTATCATTTCTTAATTTGATAATAAATCCGCCACATAAAAAACAATAAATTACGTGTCTTTCAATTGATTATATACATAACCATAACTTCTTTTTTATAACAAAACGAAAAACAAGGCTAAAACACACACACACGCACGCACACCCACACGCACACACACACTCACACATACATACATACATACATACATACATACATACATACATACATACATACATACATACATACATACATACATACATACATACATACATACAATACATACGTATACATACAATTGGGCACTTCTCATTATTTTTTCTAGATTTGATAAAAAAAATCTTACAACTGTCTTAATCAGTGAAACACTACAATTAGAAAACATATCTTCAACTTAAATATACTAGGATTTTTGTGATAATATTAAAGTATTTATGACGTATTTATTTTATCAATTCATTCTGATATTCGTAAAAGTAATGGTACTCGTCACCTACACCCAACACAAAAAGAGGACCTATCCCATTCAATCGAGGCGCACCTGTCCATCGACTTGTTTCAATTGGTAATTTCAAATCGGATGTTCAAAATCAACAGAATATTCTTTTTTCTTTTTAATATAACTTTTCCAAATAGGGCTCTTATTCCCATCTGCTTTTTAAAAGATTGAAAAGGTTTGTCCACGAGAAGAAACATCACAAGTATCTATATCATGATACCATTTTTTAAAAATAAATTGGTCAATTAATCTTTGTTTGATAGCACATTTGAAAAAAAATCTTATTTACAGTTAATATATTTTGTTGATTCCATACATAGTTGAATCTAGTATTATTAAAACTAGACTTCACAAGTCAGCCATTTGACCTCCATTTGACCTCCATTTGGCCTTGCAAATGCTCGTGCTTTATTATTATTTTTTTTAATAACGATTTTGGTTTCTCTTACATCAACGGCCATTTTCCATCTTTCACAATAATTTTGAAAGCAGTTTTGTGACTTTGTAAACCGGGTTTTGATTCAGCCATCAACACAAAATCATCAGTATATACAATGATAAAATGTTATGTATGTCCTATATGAGTTACGTATGTTGTATATATTTATTTTAAAGAATTGATGTAATTTTCAATTAACTTTTGATATCTTTAAAAATTAAAGGAAATAAAATGGTGATAAATTATTACTCTGGTTCCTGTGGTAAAAACATGAATAGCCACGCCTGCTCCTGCCATAGGGAATACGTTTACAATGGTAGAAACAATAGCGAGATACATATATATGCAACTTCCTGATTCCACAATGACACGTGCCGAGTGTCAGATACCATTCACGGATGTTGATTTCACACCTGATGAACGATACTGTACAGGTAAACACATTTATTATAACTGTCACAAATCATAATTTACGGAATCTATTGATTTGGTATCGATTATGTCAATTACGTCATTCTATTTAGATCTATCTACAACAACAGTGTTAATGTCTGGAGGCTTTATTTATGTATCCCATTCATGGACGAGTTGTACATTTTGATATTTATCAAGGCTGCGTTCAAACATGTGTATGGTCTAGGATCTAAATCTTACTGTAATAATGTACAGTACCGGCAACTGCTAATAAAACATATTATTATAATAAGCATTGTACATGTACTTGTATTCAAATTACCGTTATTGTAATAATTGTTTCTACTGCTATAGAAGTTCGTGTCGATTACCAGCCAATATGGCATATTATACAAAGATAGCATATGTGCTCGTCAAGAACAACAACTCGTTCTTGTGCAACCGGAAACGAAAAGCGACAAGACCAAAAAATGAAAACAAGGCATTTCATTGCAACAACACATTCTGTAAATTAGCGAATTCGAACTGTTGTGTTATAGCCATGTCTGGTTGTTGCGACAATTCATCACCATAAAAAAATATCTGAAAAAAAATAAAATATCGTTTAAAATATCCTTACAAAATTAGTGATATACTACATTGTAATATTGTAATATCACACATAACATGTATCGTAATGAAATACGGGGTTGAAATTTCCCTGATGCGATGTATCCACAAACAGTGATGACACGTGACACGATAAACTCTCTGTAAGAATGCTTTGATCAGCTTGTAATGTCCTCGGTACCAGGGAGAGTATCAAATTTCTGTCAAATCACAACGTATTTTACATCAATGGTCAAAGCTGAACTATGAAGGAACATCTTATGATGTTTCCTCGCAATTAAAATAACACCACCATTTCGTGTATAAATCTATGTAACTGTGATTAATATCAACTTTAAATCTGACAGACAGGACATGCACATGGCATTCCATAAAAACAGCACCACCTGAAAACATCTTATAACGTGTTACATTCTCAAATACTTTAAGGATTTTTTTGTATTCGTTTGTGAACTTTTAAATGAGCAAGAAACACATGAATGCCTTTACTTCGAGTTCAGTTGCACCAATAACTAGAATTGTGTTATATGTTAAATTGAACATGATTGGACATCAAAGAAATACGTTATACATACTGCAGCCAATGTGGCACAAAGGAATTTCCAAAAAACATAGATACTTTCTTCATGGTACAGACAGTAGCATTATCCTTAAACATATCATAGGAACAAACACACAATGGACTGTTTTACACGTAGGTATTACACGTGTATTTCTTTATATGACATCATTGCCTGGTTAGTTTCTGGGTTTAAGTCTTCGCTGTTCTTCCTACCGTCGTCATGGCATTATCACTTTTAAAACAAGATTGAAGAATAATTTTATAAGCTTGATTAATGAAGGGGTCGTTAACTAACTGAAATCTTTATTTGTAGCCAAAATTTTCTTACAAGATTTACACTTTGTGTGTTGTTGGAAGTGTTTGATCCTCGGTAGTATGGCTGATGGTTCTGTTGATGTCAACCTTATCAAGCTTGTTCACATCATTCAAGAACGTGACATTACTTACATGATTTGACCCAGAAGACGGGTATTACTGCCTGTTATAGAAATATCATTGTTTTTACTATATTTTTGTTTCGGAACATTTCAAACATGATTATGTTTTATTTCTAAAACCATTTTTCGCTCAAAGCGGTTGAAATTACCAAATGCACTGTACATACTTATGTTTTAGCTATTTATTTATTCATTTATGCATCATTCTAAATATATTTTAAAACATATGAGACCTTAACCCAAAGATACAATCAATGTTGTTACATTTCTGTTAATTTGTTGTTTTCAGATCCCTGCCCAATGGGTACGTTTGGAGATCTGTGTCAGTATAAGTGTCACTGCGAGTTCGGAGCGGCTTGTACTCCAACTACAGGGGAGTGTTTCGCTGGATGTGAGGAAGGATATATAGGGAAACCTACATGTCAGATAAGTAGGTGAAATAAGAACATGAGTCATTGCATCAATTCCAGCAACATAAACAAAATGGTATTACTGATTGCCTGGAATAGTGTTACATTATTCCCAATAAAAAGTCATATCGACCGGTCATGCAATGGGTTGTTCATTCGGGATATGTATATCATTTTATATTCTGCACGCTCCGTTTTCATTCAATCGAAAAGTGACACGATTCAGAATATACACATGTATTTGACGTTATCAGATACGTGAAAATAAGGAAATATATTGAAATAATGAGCAAGTGAACCTCCCCATGTAAATTTTGACACTTTTTATTTCGATCACTTCAGATTTTCGTCAGACGCCTCCTAGGATTTCAAATTTTGGTTCTAACATCACTAACAATTTCCATGAAGAAACAGCTGCTGTGTGATACAGTTTAATTAGCTAGTTGGGTCGACTGTATCTATTTCTAAATTTAAATTGAAATGTGCCATCTACTTGTTAGTCATTTGTATAATCTAGTATTGTATTTCTAAAATAATTCTTAAAATCGATCATGCTTACGATTTTTAGATTGCGCTGAGCACAGATTCATTCTTGAACGAAAAGAACATTTTCCAATGAAATAGAATTTTATACTAAACAAATCATAGTCTTTTGATTTTGGTCGATACATGGTTTTATCGACCACAGAAAAATACATATGTCAACGTCGATTTGTTTCTCGAATTGACTAAACCATGTATTGATATCACTTCATTCAGCGAAATCAGTATAACGGAAATGGGTTAACAATTTGTGTCGTTATAGTAAGTGTATTGACATAAAGGTATTTCAAACACAATTCTACTTCAACATCGTTCTGTAATTAGTCATTTTAACCCTTTTTGATTTGAGCTTACATTCTGAAAGATTATGTCGAGTTTTCCTTGCGTTTGAGACACTTGCTCTGTGCTTTCGTTTATTCTACCATGTTTAACAATGTTCATTCCAGAGAATGTAGCCCTAGGAAAGGAGACTGACCAGAATGGAGACACGACAGTAACGTCCAGTCTCGTGGTGGACGGTGACCGAAGACAGGATGGTTCGACGTACGGTTGTTCACGCGCGATTGACACTAAATATCCTTTCATTGCCTGGTGGTACGTCGACTTAGGGCAGAACTACAGCCTCAACAGAATCAAGATCTACTTCCGGAACGATTGTGAGTTGTCTGTGTTTCTTGACGAATTCAACACCTGTCCGGATAAACTCGTGTTTTGATTTATCGATAGTGCTCCTCAAACTACGGGACTATAAATTAAATCCTGCCTATTTCACCTCTGGGAAAGAAAAAAAAGGTTAAGAAAATGAAACGGAGATTTTATTTTCGTTCATTTTGTGGGTGCTCTTGATAAACTCAATGAAAATAAGTGTGCACGAAATAGAAGTTGGGCACCACGAATATATATAATTTGACAGTAAGTACGAACAGACACATTTTTTTCTTTGTTCTGATATCTCAACATCCACTTTTTTGTTTTTATCCGTATTCCTGGTGCATTGATGATACTTATGATTTTGTTTCGCTTTATTTTTACAGTGGCGATAAATAAGCCAAGAAGAGAAGGAGTTCGTGTTTACGTCACATCCTCCCCTCTCGACTTTAACGCCAATGCCTTGTGTTACAAAGACATCCTTAAGGTATATTTCATCTGCGTTGCTTTGTGTACCGTTGGTCTTTCCATTCTGAAAATACACCAAAACAACTATAAATCATATTCTTGAATTCAGGAGTATTTTTTTCAAATTTTTAAAACAAGACTGGCACATTGTGTGTTTTGAATAATCACATCCACCCAAGTTATACTAAGGAAGTGTATTCCGGCCACGTTATGTTTTATTTTCACTCGAAATTTCGAGTTAGTAATCCGAAGTTTCGAGTTTGTTATCCGAAGTTTTGAGTTGTTATCTCGAAACTTCGGGTTAATATCTCAAAATTTCAATAACTCGAAATTTCGACTTACTAACTCAAAAATTTGAATTACTAATTCGAAATTTCAAGATAAAATAAAACATAACGTGGCCGAAATAAGCTTCTGTAATATACACCTCTGTCATGGCTGCATTTTATAATTTAATTTTTCCTTTTCGACTCTACGTTTGTGGAAGTGACTTAACGTTGGTTCCGATAAAAGTCTAATGCTGTGTATGCGAACATTCTGTAAATGACAATAAAACAAAAGCGTTTAGTATTGCTTATCCAATAGTTCTGTCACGTGCATTTGAATTATAATAGGTTTAACAGGCTGAAGTATATCCTTAAGAGTCTTGAAATGTAAATATAAAATTCAACAATTATGATAAGATTTTACTGAATGTGACAGTAAATACTATAACGCATTGCAACTAATTTTTGATGAACAATCTCTCATAAAGAGTAAAGCAATTATTGCATGAACTATTTCTGAAGAAAAGTCTTAAAATAACTACCATTACATATTTAAGATGTCCGTGTTTTCAAACAATTATATTTTGCATAGTGTAAAAGAAATGTTAAGCGTTTTATTGATGTATTAACTTAACGTTCGAATATCCATATTTCTGATATTCAACAAATGAATTTAAAACCCGTCATTTCTTGAATGAATTCTTAGCCGGATGGAATAATTGCTCCCCCAGACCTGTTAGACCTAAGGAACTGTACAACTAACGGGCGCTATGTGATTGTATATAACGAGAGACCACTGGTGGACCCAATGAACTGTCCAACAACAACGTATTCTTGCTGGGCTAACCTTGAAATCTGTGAAGTGGAAGTCTTCGGTAAGCACTGTCTTGCTGACGAAAATGTAGTCTAAATGTGCTTTATCGAATGGTCAACGTATCGCTCACGTTTGCTTTCATACAGAGTTCTAAGATCGAACTTAAAAGAAAGAGAAATTAGCATATTAACTTACAGCTTTTCCCATAATTACCTTTAATCAACGTCAAAAGAAGAAAAGAAGAATCATGCTGTATCATAATTGTTTAATCTTATTCTAATAACTTCAACTTTTGCTTTCTCTATCATCACATACATGTTTGTGATCTCTTTTTGGCTGATATAACTCGCTGCCAATAGCTCAACTTAATAAAAGCAACAATGAAACTACCGACATGTTAATATAATGTTAAGTCAAGCACACATACGATGAAACTAGGACAAAATATAGATTAACAAGGACACTCCTGCACAATGTACAAGGTCAATAAGGTGATCCAGTATTCAACAACGACACCAGCCATGTCTTGGTCACTCCATGTACTTGAAATCGCACAAAGAAAAAGAGTTTTTCTCAATGAGATCACTATGACGACCGTAGAACTACCCCATAATCTTCATCTACCTTCATTTCTCGAAGTTAGTTCGTCTGTCAGTTGTCGATGTCTTGTACAATCCACTTTTGCTTGTCAATAGTGTTTAACGCTAATTGCATGCTATAGTATATATACATACATTGTTATTACAGTATTGTAAACGTGTGCTTTTTCCAGCTTGTACTGAAGGGACATTTGGCGATAATTGCGACAAGTTCTGTCACTGCAAGAACGGAACATGTGACCCAAACACGGGTATTTGTCCTGGAGGAGAATGCCAGGAAGGTTGGATGGGAGAGCAATGTGATATTGGTATGGTTACCTTGTTAAGAGTTATTATATATTTTATAAATATAATGAATATAGCATGGAAAAATAGAAAAAAAGTCCTTTTCATCAGGACTTCAGATATATATATATTCTTGTTAATGTTTGAAATGTTTGTACGTGGTGGTAATTTGTGGCTCCAGTCCCATACGAAAAATATTCATGGTCATCAAACTAGATTAGAACGATCGAAGATTGTTTTTATATCTTTCAACATAAACTTATCTGATCCCGTCATAAGATCTTACATGATTGCAATCATCGCGTCATAGGTTGCCCGGATGGAAAATATGGTATTGGATGCAACCAGACTTGCGGAAAATGTCGTAATGGTGACGTATGTGAGACTATGTTTGGCACATGTCCAAATGGTTGTGAGCCAGGCTTTGACGGCCCAGCTTGTAAAGATTGTAAGTATTGAATTGCGTATAAAAATATACACTGTAAAAAAGGGTACTTTAGCATCGAACACAGTTTGTTTCTGCTTTGTACATGGGAAAATGAACGTTTCGTAATGAAAATAACAAATATAGTATGAAGAAGGGCGGGTCTGTTTTGCATTTTCCAAGATGGTTATCTTTGTTATGTTTATACTGATCATTCAAACCTCATCCACAACGTCAGATATTATCTTGTTTGGGGATACCTAAAGACATCGTTATCTATGTATTCTGATGGAGTTTTACATGATAGCGTGTGAATATCAGAGTTAGGTTGGTGACGACATTCATTGAAAAACCAACTAAATGTAATCTCTCTGTGATAGCTCCATATGTAAGCGTACTTTCTAGTACATAATATTTAAAACGAAGTTCAATGATAATACATTGCATAGTATCGTTCTTCATCAATGCAATTGGCAAAACATGTTCTAAAAAGTACTTCGATGCAGATAAATTTATTCAGCAATAGTATTTGACGTGATATAGTGTTGAATTTTTTATGACCTTTGACCTTGCGTGTAACGCCTATCAGTATCGTGATAAACTCTACTTATATGTATATATGTAATACTTGTAATTATTTTTACTGTTTGTCCCAGCCTGCCCAGATTTTCGGTACGGTCAGACATGCCTGGGAAAGTGTGACAACTGTGCTAACAATACGGACTGTGACAAGGTCTCGGGGTTCTGTCCTGGCAGATGTGACAGGGGATGGCATGGCGTCAGGTGTGACGAAAGTAAGATATCATCTATCTGGAGTCATACTGTCGAAGAATCATACCTTGTATCTATCTATTTACTCAATTCTGGTGCGACATTTTAGAACTCATATAACTTGACACTACGCATCGGTGTGATTTCTTTTCATTAAAGATTGATATATATATATATATATGATTTATACGTTAACTTTTCAAAAGCAAAGTATGAAAATACCTATACCTACCTTTCGACCATTCAGCTGTCTATCTCAATTTGGGATAAAAAGATTAAACGAATCTTCTTTTAATGCCCAAATTTCTTCATAGGATGTCCAGCAGGGATGTTTGGAGGAAAGTGTGACAAAAGATGTGGGCAGTGTCGTGGAGGCGACCAATGTGATTTCAGTACCGGACAGTGTCCAAGCGGCTGTAAGCCAGGCTATGTCAAACCGCAATGTATAGAAAGTAAGTTACCTGTCAGTCCTCTTTTACCCACATTTATGTACCTACTAACAGTATGTTCTAAACAAATGCTCACTACAGCCAGCAAGTCAAGAGGATAATACTTTTGTTTCTTTGAGATATTTTTGAAACTCGTTAGATTTCTTTTTGTTCAATCACTATGTGTTTAAGTGACTAAATCAAAATGAACTTAAACGTAATCTTTTCAGGTTCGATTTATTTATCATCTTTTACTGAAAATTAATCATGCCTTTAATTTTAATTTTAACCTGGCACGGTTAATGCCAAACATTTCTTGTCAATACCCAAAATGACATGATCAAAACACAAAATGAAAAAGAATTTTTAAAGTAAATTATAAGTTTTTTAGTTTGTTTGTTTTGTTTGCTTTTCAAGTGACTGATCAGCGTCATTTCACATGTTTAACGAAAAATACCAGTTTTACAATATTATATTCTGTGCAACTCAGCATGTGCTCCTGTATACATGAATTATATATATATGTATCTCTGTTGACCTCGCAGGTGTTGGGTTCTTTAGATACTCGTTAAGATGAATATTGACTTCTGTATGGTTTAAACATTTGGTTGTGGTTCTAATAATAATCCTATAACGATTTAACGCATTGAAAACAAATGTATAGATTTAACAAAAGTTGTAATTTTCCCTCTGTGTGAATGATAAATAGTAAGGGACATCGCGAGACATTTTTTGTTTTCTTTTTACTAATACTGGAAATTGTCACAGTTTGGTAACAAATAGATCACCATCATTAATACTTGTTTCAAATAAAACAGAAAGAGTTATCTGTACCTTTTCTTAAACGATTTGAATGACAACATCATTGTTACCTACAATAAGAAGGGAATATATGCTAAGACAATTAAATCATTCTTGGTTGGATTCATGACGTTGGACAATTTATGTTAGGAACACATAAATTGTTAAGATTTTTTCAGTGTGCCTCTGAAGTATCTTATTAATAAATATATTCACGTCTCAGTTTGTCCTAAGGGAACATTTGGCGGTAATTGCTCACGAAAATGTAGCACATGTAAAATGGAAATATGCCATCATGTGACCGGAAGTTGCAATAACGGTTGTAAAGCTGGATGGACAGGCCCAACGTGTCTTCAACGTAAGCCGACTTATTTAATTCGATTTAAAATCAGTTCTAAATGATCGTACATATCACAATGCCACCGAACGCGAATTCCATTTTTTCAACATTATCTAGTATATAGTATACATATCTAAATTATTCTTTAAAAAGATATCACTAGTTAAAATGTTGTGTTTGTTATTCAATAAACTTGAGAACTGGAAATTGCTAGGATTGCCCGAAGATAATAAATAACGTCAAAAGTAATTACGTGTCTCTGACATCTAACGATGTGTCATCACTGTTCGTGTGTCGTTTGATGTAGCTTGTGGACAAGGCCATTTTGGTGAAAATTGCGGAAGGTCATGTGACCATTGTCGTGACAGAGAGTGTAATCATGTGACTGGATTGTGCGTGAAAGGATGCGTAGTGGGTTGGCGAAATCCTAGATGTGATCAGAGTAAGTCTTATGACCTACAAAAGTATATTTATTTGGTAGAATCAAAGGTATGATCTAACACAACAATTTTCTTTTCTTTTAATGTTAAAATGCATGAAATATCCAGGTTTGATTATTTGATCACTCACATTATATTGTTTCACATTTTGCACGCTTGGTAATATTGGTAAATATCTATGTATCTATACATGAATATAACAATTAGATTTATACCTTTATAAGCACTACTAACTGTTATAATGGTGTAAGTACGACGGTTTCATCACTTGGCGACGATGTGAACCATATCATCATACTTAATCAAAACAATTATTTTGTAACGTAGTGTGTCCACCGGGAACCTTTGGGAGTGACTGCAGCGCTAAATGTGGTACGTGTGCAAACGATGCTGCCTGTCACCATGGAAACGGCTTGTGTTTAGAAGGATGTGCGGAAGGGTGGAATGGTACTCGCTGTGACAGAGGTAAGTTGTATAGAAATATACTTTATTAGGCAATTCGAAAGTGTTTTTGCGATGTAGGTCGTATTTTCTTGTTACGTAAGAAGTGTCATGATATTGAATATACAAATTCTATTAAAAGTCATGTTTTATTCTTTAGTGTGTAAACGATTTAAAGACATTGAAATTCCAATAATTCAGATTGAATAAGGAAGTATAAAATATCAATAATTATATATGTTTTCATATGAATATAATACGTTTATCTTGTCATTCGATAATTACTGAGTAAAAAGTCCCGGTAGTTTTTTTCTGACTGTTAATTGCAATGTAGTTTAGCAATGACAATAAGTTTAAAAGTCAATTTGTAATGCTTTTTTTTTTGGTTCTGTGGGCATGAAAAAGATGTTCAAACTCAGTTTCCATTGAATAAGGAGGAACTAAATCCTTATTATTTCCACTGAACTTAGACTCGTATATTTACAAACATAATCAAATGTTAATTCACGATTAACTTGTCAGTTGGTGTAGAAAACTATGATATGTTCGCCTGAAAGATTGGATAATCTTCCCTTGCTTCAGGTTCTATTTGTATGCCGTATGGTTGGATTTCTGTCTATTTCAATGTTTGACAATCGCTCCTTCGCTTTCGAAAGAGCAAAGCAGAAAGTAAATGAACGTCACATGCATCTATTCACCATGTTGTTTCTCGTTACCGTCTGTTAATCCGCTGAGCGTAGGACTGGGGTTTTTTTTCGTTTAATTTATTTTGTAAAAATTAATCGTATTTATTCAAAATAAATGCCCTTTCATGAATAAGCTTGTGTTTCAGGAAAAAAAGTTGTGTTTTTTTTGTAAAATCATATTGTCCCATTTTGAACTGACGAGAAAAGTTTCAAAATAACACTAAAACCTCAAAAGGACCTAGGGACAATTTTCATAAAATCAGTATCTGAAAATTGTCTCGGGGCCCTTTGAGTTTTATACTCCATAAATCTCAACATAGCATTATCCAATCTTTGATTAGAGTAGGATTCTAATCCATAATTGTAATGATGCATACATCTTCGAGTGAAATATTCAAAGCGTGTGTTCTACAATACCCTTACCAATCACATTTACAGCCTGTGCTAGCGGAACGTATGGTCTACAGTGCGCTCGCAGTTGTGGTCAGTGTAAGAATGGAACTATCTGTCACCATGTTACTGGAATGTGTAAGCTGGGCTGTTCCGAGGGCTTTGTTGGTCCGAACTGTAAGTTCTCTAATCTATGACATCATGAAACATTAAATAACTTTGTTCTTGTATATATTTACACGGTATTGCCACTGGATAAACTTGAGTAACAGATTTCAATACAAATACTAAACAGAAAACATATCGAACGATGAACATTGTAGATAAGACTTTGCCGTTTTAAATCATCCACATATATCATCAAGCCGTTCCATGGTTAAAAACTATATCACAATCAAGTTCTTCTTGTGTATCCTAAGAATGTCTCAGAAGACTCGTAAACTGTAACAAATCTCTTTTTTAAAAGATTAATCTTTATGTCAGACAATCTTTATGACAACTTTTGTTTCGTTAAATCTTATTTTGGTTTGAAATGATGGTATGATTACCTTGTTGTCATTTGAGAACATGACATTACTTACATGGATTGACAAATAATAACATGACGGGTGTCGTTAATGAAGCAGAAGACGCTTACTCTTTCCGAACATATTATTCTCCTTGTACTTTTTCAGGAGTCCCCGTGTAAATCTTTCTTTTGTTCATATTTTGCCCTGGTTTTATTGAATCTGAGTTTGGATCATGATTTTGTTGACATGTTTGTATTTTCTTGTTTTTTTGTTTTACAAAAAAAATTCACGTGAGAAGCATTTTCTAATGTGTCAACTCACGATAGATTCATTTAGTCACAAACGACTCACCACAACAAAACGAGCCAAATATTGTAGCTTCAACATAAAAATGAAGATAGTGGTCATCGTCAATGCATAGTTTATTTACACTCGTTTTTCATTATGTGCTATCATAAATTTATTTTAAAGGCGGAAGAAAATCTGTAGATACTGAAACCGATGTTGTCCTGCAGAGTGCAATCATAGGTGGCGCCCTAGCTCTCGTCTGTATCGTCGGGATTATTGTTCTTATCTGTATAGCGAGGTAAGGAAAAGGCCTTTTGTAAAATCAAGTCCATCGAAAACTACATTCTTGAATTCGACTTTGGTTATATGTAATTATCAAGGGTATATGCATTTTTCAATTATAGCAAATTCATTTCGAAATTTGTTTCTCACTGATAGATAATACGTTGCAGTAAGTCTGAATTCATATCGACCTGAAAGAAACATCATTATATAGACATTTTTGGAATCTGTTTGGTAAATCCTTTTTCGTTAAGAGAATAAAACTAATCCCACAGATTAGCCGCCCTCAGTAGGTCCAGGTTACTACAACACGTCTGGCTAGCTGTACTTGTGATGTTCATCATATTGGTCCTTAAATGATGCAGGTCACAGAATAAAATTTTGATGTAAACATATAAGACCTTGGATCAAATAGCTCCTCAGCATTTAGAAGAACTTCTCATCCTCTTATAGCCATCACGACCACTTCACCTTAACATTGAAAAAGAAATGAACCGCCATGTAGTCAAAATTTAAAAAGGATGTTAGAATTAATTATTTATGCTTGCTTATGTGTATTGTGAAGCAATTAATTATCATTGTGTATTTTAAAGCTCATCTATAATGCTTACATAAATTAAACCTGCGACATGTAAATGTTGTATTTTACAATATATTACTTATCATTAAGCATGATACGTGAAATCTCTTTAGACAATGGAAGAGGAAATTACAAGTGCAGAAGAAGGAAGAAGAAGAGGCACAAGTGGACAGCGAGAATAACTATGCCAATATCCACAATACAACCTATGAAAACGCTAACATCAATAACGGTGAGTACAGAACATGCAGACCTGGCTATTCTACTGAGAGTTTGCTCTGTTTCCTTGACGGACGAGGAAAATATAGAATTTGGTAAAATCAATTGAAAATGTTGTAGTACGTACCAAAAATTGTAAAATATCTGCAGTTTACTTATGATTTAAGTTACATAAAAAAACCTTGCTGTTAGTCAATTTCTGGTTATGTGTTTTGGAAAGAAAGAGGATATGTAATGCTACTATAAGATATGTCCGTTAATATAGGAAAAGATGTTAAATAAGCATTAAACCATATTGAAATAAAATTCTGACTAGAAAAAAATAGTAAAGATTCACTACACACACTAAACGAAAATTGACATTAAAGTACACCAACCTCTGCCAGTATTTGTGTTGTATTCAGAGGGGCGATACTCAAGGCAGCGACATACATGTTTAACATAATATTATTAATATTTGATCAAGGAATGCTCGATCCTTTCGGAATCACTAATCATGTCAAATCATACGTTTAGTTATAACATTTTGATTTTTTTTTCATTAAAGCAAAAGAGGAAAAAAAATTATGTAATTGCAGATTGATTAAATCAGTTTTATCCTAGTCTTAATCAATTGAATATATCTTTTTAATATTTAGGATATGTTGATCCGGATGGCGAGGTTGATACTGACATAGTGCGGTATAGCGGTGACAGTTCTACATACGTTAATGGTATAACTAATATGTACTACAACGTTGGAGCACAGCTACCCGGGGTGTCCCTAAATAATTACTCTGAGTATGTTCAGGAAATGGAAGAAGATCACACTCGTTATACGGATGAGTTCGACGTGAGTTTTTTGTCGCTTACTTGTAGGGTTCTGTTCAGCCAACAGTCACCTAATCTTAAAATTCTTGTCTTGTTATGGATATCTGATGTTGGACTACTACTATTTGAACATCTTCATTAGGTAAGACGTTTTGTTCTTTTTTTACTAACAGGAATTAAGGAACCGTCCTACATATATGCACATAGAAGGACAGAAAAAGCAAAACAAACTGAAGAATCGATTTCTTACAACATTTCCATGTAAGTATAAGCTAATTGAAATGATGTTTATGTAAAAAATTGTGCCGTGTATGAAGAGTGAAGTAAGAATGTACTATGTATAATTACTTATTTAGAATATTAATTTGCTTGTAATTTTCCCTCACTTGATCAACTTTGAGTTTGATTTACTATTTTGTTGACATTTTTTACCTTTGATGTTCGTTCACCATTATCTTGTTAGTGTTTAGCTAGTTGACCTTTTTTTTTACTTTTGTTAACAGATGATCATTCCCGCGTGATCCTGGACAAGTTACCATGTGAACCAGATTCGGATTACATAAACGCTAACTATATAGATGTAAGACATTTAATTAATATATGAATATTTCATTTCGCGGTATTTTTTTCCGCGAAAAAATATTTCACGGAAGAGGAACATAACTTTCGTATTCGAAAAACAACAACAACATAAGTATTAACCACAAATAAAGTTATCTTTCTAGAATAATTTTCAAATCATTTTAAAAGAAAATGTGTTTTTTACATGGCATAGGCATTGAAAATCAACTCGATATTACAATAAAGAAAAGAAAATTTTGTCATCCGTACATAAATCTATATTGATTTTTTTATCAACTAATAGTAAGTGTGGATTTTGCTTTCTAGGGCGTTGACTCATTAAAAGCTTACATCGCTACACAAGGTAAGATTGAGAACATAAATGCTCAATATGTCAAATTCAGAAATGTACCTGTTTTGATGATGATTGATAAATTTGTTCTGGATATATCAATCTAGCTTAATCTTTTAAGTAAACATAAATATTCAAAAGACGTTGCGTTATATTGACTATATGCCTATCGCAAATAATTAGGTGAAGTGAGTGTTCTATTGAGAAAAAGGAAACTGTATTTTAGAAACCTTGAAAAAATGCTCACAAAAACTTTTATGTGACGTATTTTGACCTTTTTTATCATTGTTTCCATGAACGTTTCTTAGCAAAACTTATGAGATAATTTTGGTACCGTTTTGTGTACGACTTTTCATATAGATATATACCGTTCAAATTTTGTGTTCAGGTCCAAATCGGCACACGGTTGGTGACATATGGAGAATGATATGGCAGCACAAAGTGGATAGTATTGTTATGTTGGCTAATCTTGTAGAGGATGGCAAGGTAGGTCAAATAAAAGCTGTTAGATTGGGACAGTAGAAACACATAATTCCACAAATAGTAAAACCATTGGAAGATAAAGTAGAGCCGATTAAGGAACTTAACTGCATCACACATCTGTTTAGTCCTTCTAGGACTCGTCAATGATGCTACATCACACATCTGTTTAGTCCTTCTAGGACTCGTCAATGATGCTAAGGGCCTGAATTTTGAAGTCAATGAGGCGACTGAGGAAAATCCAAAAGGATCGAAAGAAAATTCAATATCTAGAATGGGAGGTGCACTAGCCAATTGATTCAATTTTGGTAATTTTCAAATATTTGATGATTAAAAAACCGTCAAGTTCATGTGTTTATTCTGAATGAATTAAAACTGGCATGCAGGTTACGCTATTGACGATCGTGCTACACTAAGTAATAACGTTTTAGAGTGAAAGCGTGTAAGCGGTATCTTCCCTGGGGAAACACAAGTTTATCGTGGTATAGATGAAAGAACCAAAAACAGACAAACACGAACGTACATAAGAAGTATTGAAGGTAAACGCCAAAGCTATTGTTTTTGTCTACAGGCATATATGCAAATTAATATTGGACGGCGCAAATTTGCTAAATGCGCAGGTAAATTCGATGAAGAGCAACGAGCTGAGAGCGCCTTGCATGTTTCTATCACAAACATGCAAACAAAGAAAGCATTGACAACAAGACATCAGGTTTTATTAATACGTGAACAATGCTAGCCATTTAAGCACCGATGTAACCTATGTGTTGCTAACATGGAGATCGTGACTTTAGCGTTACGTGCTAACGCAATATGCAATGAATAAACTGGCTGTTTGTATGGACAATAGTATTGTATACAGTGCAAGGTTTTTATTTTATGTTAGAAGACGAAGCAGGGTCTACAAGAAATTTCATTAGAAAATTGTAGCTCAACAAGGAGTCGTTTAGCAATATGAGGATCACATATAATTGGAAATTGTTATTTTATTCGAAAAATATTACAATCAAATGTAAATTTCATATTACTTAAAAGGTTAGAGTATTCAGCAAAGTATACAAGATCAAACATGAAATAAATTAACAAGACAACAAAAGTTGTAATAATGCAGAGATATTTTAATGGTTGTTTACGCTATACAGGTGAAATGCGAGTGTTATTGGCCAACAATTCAGCCTGTTACTTATAACAACCTGACCGTGACTCGTGTTAATAAGACAGAGATGGCTATGTACACCGTGAGGACATTCATCGTAACAAATACGGAAGTACGTATGCAGTAATACATGTACATGTATATATAGTTTACTTTGCTATTCGTGAAAGGATAAACTTTGATACTGTCCTTGTGATGTCAAACACTAATAATCACTGCTCATAGTTTCACTTCTGCTCTTTGTTATTAAAGTACAAAGAAATCAGTAGTCTTTCATGATAAATTTGGACCAAATTAATGATGTACTGGTATGATTGCTATTCTACTCTATTTAGTTTTTTTGTTTGCAATTTATACGTCGAAACTATTCTACGGAATCTCTGAGCAAGAAAAGAATTCCATTATTTTTTTCTCTTTACTTTATTTCAAAACATAACTAATGACTATTACTATTAATCGAATATTATTATTACAGTTGTCAGAGACACGTCAAGTCACCCAATACCACTTTACAGGATGGCCAGACCACGGGGTACCCGATACCCTGGAGCTGGTGGCCTTCCTTATGCGAGTCCTGCAAGACAATCCAAGTAGGACAGATGACGTCCCCCTCTTAGTGCACTGCAGGTACCGGTCTCCAACACAATGTTGTTTGCTTAGGTCAACTATTCTAAAATTATTCTGCTAAATAAATTTTCCGGATAGGCCTCAAGAGTAGAAACGACAAGGTATCGAAATTAGTATTAAACCGTGAAAGGTACCAAAAACTGATGTTTTAACAATTTGCTTGTATCAAATGCAAAGTTAATCAATTCAAATATTTATATCTGTTGGAAAATTAAAGAAATATAAATAATCAGGTGATTGTTGGTAACCGCGGTCGAGAATTGCAATTTGACAAATTTTACATAGGCAATTTTGTTGTTCATAAGACATTAAAAAAAGTTTTCACATGTATTAGACCGAGATATTTTATCAGGAGATGGCAACATTGACAGAACACAAGTAAATCATATTTTTTCATTAGATCTGCACTTACCAGTAGATTTTTTGGCAGACAGCAGTATATTTAGAAGGAATAACTTTCGTGAATATGACGTCGCTAAATGTATTTTGAGGAAGAAAAAGGTGTTCGATGTAAGTTGATAAGCCTATATGTAAACAGCGACATAAACATAGGGTTTTACGATTAAGTATTATATAAATCGACATAAACTATTCGTAAAGAGTACATGTATCAGATTGTCATTTATGAGATATTTTGTAATATAATACTAAAGAATAGCTTATCCAAATGGTCCGGACATGTTTCTTTTACAGTGCGGGTGTTGGACGGACCGGTACTTTCATCGGCCTTCACGCGCTCTATACATATGGATGTGACAAGAAACGAGTGGATGTGGCAGAATTTGTACGGAAGATGAGAGACAATAGGATGCTCATGGTTCAGAACATTGTACGTATAATTTTTTCTCGGAACACATGATCTTATTATCCTTGTACTCTTCATGACTCTAAGTGGATAGCTTTCGTTTTTCATATTTTCTCCTAGTTTTATTGCACTAAAGTTTGAGTTTTTGTTATATTAATTTTGTTGTCATGTTGGTACTTCCTTGTTGTTTTTGCTCTGCTCTGTTCATTACAATAGTTTACGTTTTTTTATCGTTTTGGTTTGTTTTGTTTTTGTTTGTTTGTTTGTGTTTTTGGGGTTTTTTATTTTATTTTTTTACTTACCTTATGTTTGTAGCCTGTCTGATATATATGTTTCAATCTTTCCAATTTTCAGGAACAGTATCGACTGCTACACATCGCTCTCCTAGAGGCGTTTAACTACACTGAATCTACAATAAAGAAATCCGATTTTCTCAAACGTTACAATGACTGTGTCAATAAACAGTCAAACATCATCACTAAAGAGTTCGAAGTAAGTATCACCCCATAACTATATCACGATTGGATTCTTAATAGGAATGCATTTATATTATTCAAACGTTCAGAAAAGTTTGCCTTGAACAATCGATTAAATCAATATAACCGAAAAGATAAAATCAACACGGCAGTTCGCTAACGTTTTAAGGCCTTGATTACGACATTATGATGTAATCAATAGTAACAGTAGGGGAGTTCATAACGTTACATAAAATGTTCGAATGTACTATTATTTCATCTTTAGAAGACACAATAACAATGCCATACCTAATAATTGTACAAATGATTCTTTAATTTGGAATAGTTTTTGTTGATATTTTGTTTTAGTAGTTTATCGATAAAGGAAAGTTTCTAAACAAAGAACATTCCATGACTAATAACTATATGTTTAAAAAATTAGTTTTGACAATACATGGAAAAGGGCTACAACGTAGACGTCGTTATGCCAAATACTTGAGTTTGTGATTATATTCCATTTATAATTTGTACCAACAGCTGCTTCAATCGGCCAAACCTGTGTATTCTGAGCAACACTTCACTGCAGCAAGGGCAGCAGAAAACTGCGAAAAAAACAGATCAAACAAAATCCTAGCAGGTAATGTATACAAAAATAATTCCATATTTCATAGAAATATACACAGACGTTAACTAGGCATGAACTATGATATATACTTATGTTTCTTTTGTACAATGTGTCATTAGACATATATAAGGCACATGAAGAAAGATTAGCTACTACGATATGGTCTTCGTTAACGTTAACATATAACCATCAAATTGAACAAAAGCAATTTATAAGTGTTTTCGTCTTTATTTCTTAAATAAGAGTTATTTCCCTTCTCTTCTTGCTTTCCATTACAACACCTTAATCGAAATTATTGTGATTTGAATTAGAAGTTCCTTGAATATAAAAGGTTTGGATACCAACGGTATAAACATATCGCACTTACGTTCTCTTTACACATGGGATTGAAGCCCCTAATATCACTGGCGAGGCTTAGGACAAAACAGCTGTATGCTGCGGTTAAATTACCTGGCGGCCATAATGAATATAATTCTGAATTTGTATTAAAAGCTACAATACACTGTGTGTCCTTTTTGTTACAACCTTGTCAGACCGTTTCAATCAAGCGTGTAAAATTGTGCAAACATGCATATTTTCTTTTCTTTTATAGGTTTTTTTTTATTTATTTATTACTTTTTTTGCATCAGTTGTATATCCTTTGAAATATTGAAATTGAGTACAAAACATCAATTGCATGCTCTGTGTTCCCATGAACACGTGATTTACCGCTCTCTATATGTTAACCTAAGCAGAATGAAAAATGGATATGGTTTGGAATTTTTTAAAACATTTGTAGGACGCGGAGTCATGTCGTCCCTTCACGAATACATTCCAAGTTTGAATCGTCGTAATGTTATGTTTCAGGCAACAATGATACATCGCTTTCCATCATCTATCTGATATTAACTTTTTATGGCCTCATTAAGGGAAAAAGCACAGAAAAGCTTTGGGGCTGAACCATTAGCCAATCAATACATCCCTGATGATATGTCGATGGTTTAGGTTAAAATCTATAAATTTCATGCTTGAAGCTAATTTATTGCAGAAGTATTACCCGTTGTATTGTAAATTCATATATCTTCTGAAATGTCAATGCACTTTCATTTGTTATCAGTTTTAAACACGCGGTATCATTACAATATGCGCTATTTAAAATATCAACTGCGGCATCTTCATTACCTAATAAAATGTACGTGTCCTTTGATTAGCTGATCTCCAAACGGATATTAACATTCAAATCCCATTTTAATCTTAGTTTTATTATCTAAAAAAACCAACAAAATCAATTATGCACAAAATAAAAGCAGTATATTTACACAAGATTTTTTATGTTATAAAACTTAATAAGTACTGTATTTTCAGGGGCTACACTGAAAGACTGCTTCTGGCAATAAATTATTAAATTTCTGTTGCTTAAAATTCATATGACAGTGTACCTATTTTTTGGAGCCTATAGTTAAAGTCAAGTGTAATTATACAGGTCCATGTTGTAATTGGGGAGGATCCAGCTAAAACAACCAACATCATAATGGTTTCACTGGATACATACACATAACTTCTTTTCGAATGAACTTTTATATCATATCTGAATAATAATAAAAAAAAATATGTTGTCAGAATTGGCGGTGAAATTCCGTTAACTGAATTTATGGCCAAAACGAATGAAAAAAACAAGTTGTGACTTCTGATTGCAGGTTATTTGATAGAGAACCTTCTTATTTTTAGGTTTGTAACGAAGGATATTTCATAATGTACATGACTACAGTGTACCTCAAGCTGATCATTTTAACAGGTTAAAATTTCCGATCAGACATTTTATCTTTATCAAATTTTGTATATTGATGGAATGACAGTTTACACATATAATGCAAAATGATAATTTCAATCTGAATCGCGTGAAAATGCGAAATTTAGTTGCAAAGCTGTTTTAATTGCTAATTTCTATTTGTTGTGTATGATATACTCTTTTGTTACAGTTTCAGTGTTGATGGTATAAATTGCAGTGATATATTGATGATAATTGGCGTTGATATCCACTCTTTTGTTATATTAGACGCTTTGAAATATTCACAAGGCTCTTTTCGATTTTGCAATTGTTTCATTATGTAGTGATTCAATTGAAATTTCAATACAACACATCAATATATCGACCAGTTCCATTTATAGACATACTAATATACACAATGTGATATTTTCAGTTGACAAATTCCGTCCGTATTTGAACACTTATATTGAAGGCACGACCGATTACATCAACGCTTCTATCGTTCCGGTATGTACTTTGACCAATGATTACCCATAACTATCTATTTACAAACGTCCAATCAAATTGGAAACATAGCATAAAGAAAACTGACCCACTAGATATCTTCTGACATCGCTTATTGTATCAAATTGATCGATTTGTTAATTAACATACAAGCTATAAAATCCGTTTCTATACATTCAAATGTAGTGTTAATGGGCTTCATTCTTGTTAATATGCATCATGTTCGTTTAACAGACCAGTTTTTTTTCATTATTCATGTCTTCATACTGTTTCAGTCATGCAAGGCCCAAGGGAGATTCATTGTGACGCAGGCACCATTACCAGAGACCATTGTTGATTTCTGGCGGCTAGTCTATGACCATGATTGTTATACGATCATAGTATTAAACTCACCAGACCAAGAACTTGAGGTATATACGCCTACACTCGGTACTAGATATCCCACACAATGAAACCAAATGAGTATGAAAATAATGCAGGTTTTGTTTGGAGAGAGTGGAACATGGTCTAAAATCGATGCTTTTGCAGGCTGAATACCATAACGGTATTGGTTTGATCATATCGATACTTTCCAAAATATTTATAATAACCGTCGGAGAATTGTAAATCTAAATCTACGAAATATAGATATAGACTCGCAGACCGAAGACGATTAGCATCCGGTGTATCGATTAATTTTGAACAAGGCCAATGATATTATCTTTAACAAACAATTTTGGATGGACCGATACATACACCAGCAATTATGTGCATTCATATCAATGATAAGGTTTCTCGAAGACCGATTTTCGTCACATCATGACAATTACACACCTTCTACCCCAGTTTTAAGGTTTGCTATATTAGATATACTCTGTCCATGACGATTTAATAGATATATTTCTATTTTCAGATTTTCAATTATTAAATTTAGTTATATCTTATCATGTAATGATGAAATGATGACAAACAAGATCAGGAAGCCAGATAGTCAATTTGAAAACGCAAATTTTATTTTATATTGATATTGTTCTGATATGCAGTTATGAAACTACATTATAATTGCCTTAATGAAAAAATGCGCTAACTTTGAAACGTTGCAGCGTTAGGTATCTTGATTTCTTTTATATGAAAATCTATATTGTTTCGCAAGCATATTAAGCATATTTTAGACAAAGCATACATATATGAGATATCCAAGAAATTGAGTCCTGGTTTCTATTTTACAATATACTATATCAATACTGCCTAATAGGGGTGTGTTGGTGTTCCTCAGGAGAGCGGTGTGTGGTGGCCGTCAATGGGCGACTCCGTCAGCTACGGATCACTGACCATCACAACCACAGCAGTCAAGGATGTTGGTAAAGACATAACCGAGAAAATGTATGACATCAAGAAAAAGGTACGTCATTCATTTCTTAAACGTCTTCATAGAGAATCACAATAACTTTGAAATGTGCAGTTGGTGTGACAACATTCATATTTGAGTTAAAAATTTAATGGGTAATGTACTTAGCAACTTGATCACCGTAAAGGCTTATTTGTTAATTCAAAATTATTTGATCATGGTATTTAACACAGTATAATGTGCTTCTTGTAATCAATATGATCTACATAATTTGTATCCCACTTTGTTTTCATGTAAGCATCTGAATTTGTAGACTTTATGTATCATTATCTAACTATTATTACAAAGGGTATTCGAAAATCTTGAATGAAAAATATGAATGTTTAAAACTTCTGTACTACCTTACCATAATGATGAATCCTTCTGTGCTAGCATATGTGACCACAGGACATTGTTTTCTTCATTGACCTCCGTTATTTGGTAGATAATCAAAGAATAAAAATGATATATTTCTCTTTTATTGCGTCTGCTGGATGCTTGGATTATGTAATTGTTTGTCCTGTTAAAGTCAAATGTCAAGATAATGAAATAATTTCGACTCTATTTCATGCTTAATGATTGGTCAATAAATAAGGATTTTGTCATGTAAGCTCATAGTCGAGAACTAGTTATTTAGTTATTGTATAATATCCACAAACGTCCATACTTTGTAGGGCTTCGGTGAGGCGCGTGCAGTAAAATCTTACCACATGGGGGGTTGGACTTCCGGCCAATACAAACCAGTTTCCATAGAGACACTGTTGGAGCTTATAGACTTGATGGAAGCATGGAAACGGAAGTGTCTTTGTCACACGGTAGCGGTGCAGTGCACGTAAGTTTCTACTATACCTGGTCTCTTTAGAGCCTTACCATAGTTGTCCATTGTCTTATAAAGTAGCACTGTCAACAGATAATGCTACACTGTAGTCATAACTCCACATACTGAAATGTTACAGCATCAAGTTTTTACAAAGTCATTGGCTGTGTATATGCTTACCTATTACCATAGTTTTCTCTGAATTATGGCATGCCATCAACGCATTTGACGTATTGAACAATACAGTATCGAATATCACATCAAATATTAAAATCTGTTATACATGTACTTCTCATCAATCAGAGAAAACATTGTATCTTCCTTCATGTAAAAACGTAAAGTAATAAAGCTACTCCTGGTTAATTGTGATATTCTGTAGTATATGCTGTTTTGGTTTTTATTTGAAGTGATTTACTGGTGACGTGCTAAGTAAGGTTACTTCTGCCAGTCATTTATACCCTAGTAAACAGACATGTTGTGATGACCTCTTATACCTTAAACTGTGTATTACTCGTATGATCCACGCTTGTGATGGTGATACACCGTGATGATGGATTTTTGCTGTAAACCACACCCCGCGTTTTAATTCATTCGATAATTGGCATGGTTGAGGATATTTGATGTTCTCTTAAAATTACCAGATATTTGAGAAAGCCAAATCTATTGAATTATAGGGCTAGTGCTCCTCCCGATCTAGGTTTTGACATTTCTCTCGGTCAATTTTGATTCCTCAGTCACCTAACTTTGAATAATTAGACTCTTAACACCACTGACAAGTTCTAGAAGGAAGAAAACATCTGTATGATACGGTTGTAATCATTATTCAGCTCTATCTTATCAGATATTGCATTTTTATCAAAATATGCTATTTAATTGTTTACACTATTTTGCCAAGTTTTGGTTTTACATCATATTTTGGTAATATCTATCTTTTCCTTGTGCTATAGCATCCTTCTATTCCTGGCTGTACTCTACTAATGTGTTTTGCAGTAATGTCTACTATTCAAGGGTTTAAGCGAGTACATTTTTAAATTTGAAATATTGAATTGAAGTGACTTCTACTAGCTATCATTGCCGAAATATTCTATTATTTTGATCGAGGTAACTTTTGCGTTTTCTTATTTCACTCGTGGTGCCCTCTACTTTTAATATTTTACTCGAGGTATTTAAAATGTTTCTTCATGATTGCTGACTTCTGTTATTTTGTCGTTTTAATGAAGAATCCGTTAACCATACTAAATGTGCTTTGTTGTATTTCTACCAGTTTGATTTGACATCTGCGTTCCCATTTCACCATCGATACGTACTTTAATTGGTTGCAGCAGCTCGTGTATGGAGGTCGTAAAAAATGTACACATGAATGTAATCGATCTGAAATATGAAAAAACCTAGTCAGCCAGAACAACACGCAAGTGACAGTCATGTTTACGTCGATATTATCTGTTGTTTGGAGCAAAAGCATTAGCGTTTATGTGCATGCGTACTAGAAGTTAATTCAGGACTGTTAAAAAGACTTAGTGTAAACGCGAATGAAAAAGGAACCCCTACATGTGAAAATAATCATCATAAAGGCATCATAGTCGCAATAAGTTGCTTACATCTCATCTGCGTTTATCGAGGTGTCTTTCTTACGGAAATCTTTATATTAAAAGCAAGTCCTCCGATTTCGAATAATATGCGACATGTAAACAGCAATGACTGAGGAAGCAGGTTTGTTACTATCAAGAAAATGCAAAGGATGCATAAGGGAAGCTTCATCATACTTACCATTTGCGTTATAGATACATGAGGCGAAATATGCGGTTAATGTAGAACAGTATCGTGTCCTTGGTTACTGATTGATATTATCATTACTATGAAGACAAATAATCATCTATATATTTAAATGTTCAAAATAGTATTTTGAAAGGTTATTGTTACATTAAAAATGTTTTGATAAACCATTTCATAAAAGCTTGGCATGAAAACTAAAACAAGACAGTAAAACTATGATTGTATTTAGTAATCATATAGTCTATTTGACGGTCTTTCCAAAAAATCAACTAATTTTTAGGTGCGATATGTATCTGTTAAGCACGTTTATCATGCCATTGTGTTATCAAATATTTCTTAACTTTCATTTAGCTATCGAGTCATTTTTGTTTCGGGGTAAGATATAAATACAATATATAATCAACTTAGCCCCGGTCGAAAGAGGATCGTTCGTGGAAGTTGCCAATTCTTCATTTAATAAGTATTGAATATTGCAAATTATATTGTTGTAATGGAACAACGTTCACGTGAATAAATGATTATTTATTTTGAAATAGAGAAGTCCTATGTTATGTTCCTCGCTTGTGAATGTACAAGGAGCGTGTCATAACCTCCGATATCTCAACGACAATCAAGTCAATATTTTACTCTCAAAACAATAAGCTGATTGACCATTAGAGGTTGAGGTCATACTAGCTGAATGTGTGTACATGCTAATTGAGAGTTAAGTAAATAAGCTCTCTTGGTATTGTGTTTCGGCTACACACGCAGCAAGTAATGAAAATATATCTATCACATAATTACTGAAATCGCCTTGGGCCATTGTAAAACTCATTATTTCTAATATCAGGGGATAGCTATTTTAGTCCACTGTACATCTACCAAGTTAATATTTAATCATTTAATTATAGATTCGATGTTATTCCGGAACGAAAGAGTTATACACTGTCTAAATTTACTGATATAATGGAGATATCACTTTATCGTTCAAAACGTATACTTCGATATGGATAGTTCTCACCTCTCTATCTAGGTTTTAATATCTCTTTCGATCAACTGCCATTTTCCTTAGTTGCGTCCTAGGTTTCAAGGTTTAGTACGATATTCACTTGTACTTTGTATGTCTTTTGTACAATCTTCGAGCCGAGTTTACTAGTTTCTTGTAGTAGAAATTCTAGATACTTTTTTCTGTGACTTTTGTATCATTCAATGTTGCTTCAAAAACGTGTCTGTTAACTGAAAATACGCATGGCTAATTATAAACAAGCATATCTTTATCAACAGTATATCGACTGTTTTGGTGTAATCCGGCCATAGTCATCTTTCCAAAAATAGTGTGCTAATATACAGTGCTTAAAAACCAAAACGTGATGAAACTAAGGCAGAACAAGAACAAAAGAGTTTTAACATGGATGCTAATGAAAGGTACAAGGAGGTTAAAGCTAGGTGTTCATCGAAGAAACCCGCAATGGAAATTTTGGCCAAACTAGAAATGCTATTTTCCAAGTGAAGAAAGAGTAAACAACCACGGATCCAGCAGGCAAAATAACGAGCATCAAATAAGGAACGAATATTCGATGCTTCTTAACGTTATCTAAGCAATCGCCGTACAGTATATCAATCTTCTTCTTAGAATCGGAAAGGTAGCTACCACAATCTCAAGATCTAATCTATAGATCGATATTCTCTACCATGTAAAATCCCAGACAGACCATACATACAGCACAACAAATTCAGCTTGAATACATAAATGAAACTGAATACATTTAGACTGCAAACAGAGGTTATAGGTGGGTGGTTATAATCGCGAACTCGTTAATTCATACAAAAACATTTTTACGTTTACAGGCCTTTATACTTTATACTTTATACATGTCAAAACTCTTATATTATTTCATACGTCTTTTTATACCATGTACTTTTTTTTATATTAACCATTTTCTGTAGATTATTCATATAAATTTATATCATAGCAGTTCATGTGATCAGGTTTTATTTTGTTTGCCTCATGTTTTAAGAAGCTGTTAAGATTGTTTGTTTATTACCATTTTAGACATTAGCCTGTGCATAAACATACCCACTAAATAGTCGAGGAGGAGTTATTTACCTGATATTGAAAGTTTTAATATATACATGTATCTGTCAGGGATTTGGATAAATCTGAGACTTGAAGTGTAGTTATTGCGTATGTCTCGGAAGAAAATGTGATAAATTAGTTGCCTAGAGCCTACAATTTTAGTTAAACCATCTTTATGAGGTATCCCAAGGGATGAATTACTTATGTGTGACCTACAGTTACAATTATTATGTATGTATGACATAACCATTAGTATTAAGCAGTCCAACCTTCCTATTGTTACGTCTGTAAGTCTGTCGAATGATTTAAATTGTACCGCTTACTGTTTACTAGCGAACCGTAGTAGTTTAACGTTTCGTCTACATATTTTCATTTTTACCTGGCTTAACCAATATTCGTTGATTGTTATTTCTTGGCAGATGAAAATCCAAAGTGAATAATATCGCCATTAAGTCTTCCATAGAGATCAATACATGGCCTAACAGTCATACCTGTATCATCGATGATAAATAAGGATCTGTGAGGCGTACTATCAATATCACTTGTTCGATTTATTTTGGTTTTGTGTTTATTAAAAACTTACAGAAGCGCTTATTACTTTATACTCTGGTTAGTCTATGTCACGGAGCTCTTTGAAGCATTACCTTCTGTATTTCATCCATAATTGTTGCCATGTATGGTTTGGCTTGGGTAGTCATGCGTGAAATGAACCAGGGACAATGTTATGTAAACATTTATTCTATTTTGATAACAGAGCAGGATATGATGAAACGCATGTACAGTGATTTTTGTTTTCGAATTTCATTCAATTATTTACGTCTATTTCACTCTGTTTATAAAACCAATTATTGATTATTGATGTAAAAAAAACAAAGTACAATAATAAAATAATATGATCTGTGTTTTACCGAAACCTGTGAAGTCCTTCACCGTTCCAGCTTTATAACTATTTAGTTTGTGGTTCTGTTATTTGATATAAGACCACTACAGTACAATCAAATTAAACAATGCAATTAAATTAGCACAATGCTCCGGCGGATGATATTCATCATAACATCATTGATGAAAGTGATTTCATAGTTTTAATTTAAAATTTATAATAACATGAAAAATAGTACAATGTATATATCGTCCACTACGCATAGTATGAAAGCTGTTTTTCGTATAGACAGACTTATAATTTTAATATATCATGTCTTGTTGTCTTAACAATATTCGCCTCATTACAATGAATAAATTACCATGTCTGACCAGCTTCTAGATCATTATGTATCTGTCTGAAATAGATACATTACATCTTTTCTATATACAAAATACTACACAAATTAAGAAATAACAACGACAAATTAAAGTCATAAAGGACATTACTAGCAAACATATGAACGCTCAAAAATATCGGCAGCCCTCATATATACGTCGTCGGTTGTAAATAAGATACGAAATATGAACGTCTAAAATAGCTAATACTTATGTTATAATAATGTTTTATTGTTGAAGCTAATAGCAATTATAATAACACAGAAATTCAAGAATTACTCTCTTTTTTTCCACAGCGACGGTGCACTTTGTAGTGGGGTGTACTGTGCAGTCAGTCTTGCACTAGATGGACTGAGGTTGGAGCAGCAGGTTGATATTTACCATACTCTTAGAAGACTCCACGTACGGAGGCCAGAATTTGTTAGGACTGAGGTAAGTTAAAATGATGAATATTAAAGATGTTATAATCAAATTGATAAAAATGTTTGGAATGTATGCAAGTGAAAAACAGACGCAATTAATTCCATAGAAACACGAGATATATCAGTGATGGTATAATTTTTGCAGTAATGATAATTTCGGTAGTTTTGACCAACTAGATCGGTGTTTGCTAGTAAATGAAACAAACGTTTGTCTAGTTGCTTTGTTTTAGTAAAATGGTCCCCTGTACATTTCTTGTTTTCTCTAAATTGTCATACAAAAGTTTTCTTACCAGATAACAACATGAAATGATAGAATACCATGTAAAAGCAGCCTATTTAAAATGGTGTTGTCTTGTTGCCAAGGGTGACGTCAAACTATCTTAAAACGTTTATATTATCCAAACATTTTTGAAAACCGTTCTATTTGATAATTGATCGGATTTTTTCTTTGAAATATAATAGAAAAAATAACCTAATGGTTTTCCGCCATATGTATTTTTCGTCCGTATGAGAGAAGATACCTGCGCACTCATGTTATATATAGATATTATGTCATACTTGTGAAATGTATGACACTAAACGGGAAAACATTAACTATTCTCTATGTACCATATTTCCTATGATTCCATTTGATATTGATTTTCCTAATGTCAGTTTTATCTTTATAAATGATTTATATATTGCATCGACACGTGAACATTATTGTTTACTACGTATTTTGCAATGATACAGACGAAAAACAAAATTAAACAGAGCAAACAAAGTGAGTAAGATGGTTAACAAAAAGTTTTAAATATCCGCTAAAATGTAGAAAAGTTCCTATCCGGATCATAATTGTATGATAAATGATTCGCCCATTGTAACAAAAACTTCCCTTATTGATCTACACATTTTTAAGTGTCTTTTACTGTTATTGAATTAATCATAACCAGATATATCAATATGACAGCATCAGTTGTAATGATATATATTTCCTTTTATGTTTTGCAATGTAATTTTATGTTAGAATATACTGTATAACTGTACAGTTCTGGACTTATTGGTTCAATTGACGTTTCACGGTTCTTTCTTCTATACTCCAGGGAAGTATATTGTTATTAAAAAACAATTATGTTTATATTCAGGACCAGTATCGATTCATATATGACGTCATAGCAGAATACATTGAGTCCCGAGGGATCTACGGAAACACTTAAACGGAGATCACCTGGATTAGCTCTTACCAGTCCAATAAACCAATGTGATCGAAAAAAAAACCACCAAGCTGGTATCAAGGACAGCAACGCTGAATACATATTAAATAACAACGTTATTGCTGTGCTATGGTTTTTGTGAAACACGTGTTATATGTGAGAAACGAACGTGCGCGAGAAGCAGATGATGCTAATCTTGCCCTGTAATCGTTAATATATTGCTTCATGATGACATAGAGGATTTCCACAGGTTTTATATTGTATTTCCAGGATGGATCAATACAGAAATGTAAAACTTATCATTTGTAACCTGAAAATCATATTTACTACTAAGATGTTCTTCTAGACTGGTTTTGATTACCTTATAGAGCTACTCTTGGGGTTTTAAGATCAGTTCATGGATTAAAGTGCTGATGAAATCCATATAAAAATGGCGGTCATATATTTAGACTGCAAGAGCAACCGTCTCCTAGATATTGATTACCATTCCATGTATGTTTTCAACATTTCCTTTATTGTTCCTTACCTTTCTTTTACTGCTTTCAACTATTTTATTACTAAAGACATTTTCTCTCCATGGTTTAAACATAACTCGTCCCACGAAATCCAAGAATGATGAAATGAGTATTTCCAACAATGAGGACAAACTGATTTCAATTTCACGACATTTACGGAATGCTCGTGACATTTGCAATATATTTTCTAACGGAAGAATCAATTCATATACGACTGTCTCGACGCGATGTCGTATGACACACTGAAGTTGAAACCACGATGAGTGGAATCTACATTAAGATCAGCATTCGAAAATCAGTTTCCATGGTACCGATTTATAAAGTCCTTATCTTTATTTTGGCAACGCTCTTCTAGATTCCAATCATTAAATCTCGAGTTCAATGACAAACTTTCTTAAGACATATGGTAAAACTGCTTTGATTTTGTGCTTCCTATGTGAAGCGTACTGACTTTAATTATGTCTACAGTTGCATTTATAAAGTAGGTGTCATATTTACCAGTACGTTTGATTTGTAACGAATAGTTAAGACCTACTTCTACAGTCGTGTTTTCAAAATCAGACATTTCTGTAAATCTAACGAATTATCACTCGATCATTTCGTTATTCTAGTGCTATTTATCAATCACTCTGTGTCTATCAACATTCTGAGAAATGTTGATGCTTTGAGTATATTACGGTAATTCTTTCCAACTTTCTCCACTAATTTATGCATTATTACATGTTATCGACTATGTTTACGAAATGTTCTATATTTCTACAGGGTTGCTTTTCGCAATTAACCACAAGAAATAACAATACAGAGTCCGAGGGCAGAAGCTTCACGCTGTCATTCATTTGTTTTGACAATAATATCATCGAGGAAGTCATGAAAGCATATTAAGCAGAGGAAGTAACAGATTATAACGGATGCTGTCGAAAACTGTAAATTCCATTTCCATGCATTTAGATCTATCGAAACATCATTTCATGTGAAAGAAAAGTAAAATTATTCAAGGTAGCAATTTCTGAGTCAAAATGAAACCTTTTCATGATTTAATATATATATTAGGGGCGTCAAACTTCACAGCATCTAAACTGTCTACCTTAATAGCATAATCCTGCCAAGCGCATTGATGTCATTCATGCTATTGCTCGCCATTTATTTATTGAAAAAATGTTCATAACTTTCTGAATGTTTTTCTTACTGCTACTATTAATATTATCATTTTTATTTTTTGTACTTTATCTATATATTATATTATTTTGCACTTCGAGTATGTAAAATAACTGTTAACATGTCTATTTGTTTATTAGTATTTCCTCATATGGTATACCATGTTGCTATACTATTGTTTATATGTTTTAATCTAATATTATTATAGACATTATGTACAATAAGTGGAGATTCATAAAACTGCCTTTCACGTTTTGTAAATAACTGGAATGCCTGATTTAGTTGCGTAATAATTATACAAAATGATCTTCAAAATTGTACAGAACCACTACGAATTTCCATGAATTTGAAAAATCTAATTTTAATTCATTTTACATCATACCACGGCTGGCCCGAATCATATGAACAGAGAGATTATGCTTTTATCTCTATACTTAATCACCTGTTGGTAAAATAGTCCAGTTACCTCAGGGGATTATTCACAAAAGATATAAACAATAGTTAGAAATAGAAAATGACAGGCGATCCACTGTTTCCTACAAAACGGTATGCCATGTGGATTATTGGCCTAGATAATCTGTCAGCTACAAATAATGTGCATTCTACAAAACTGTTTAGTATTCATCCTTTTAATCTAGTGACAACAAATATTTATAAAATTTCAAAAATAAATAATAAATAAATCTTCCTGATTTTAATATTCTTGTTTATCTGCTTTCGTTGTTTGGTTACTAATTGTATTTGACTTGTTTTTCATTTGAATCAAATACATTTCATGGATATGTCATTATCATATACAGAATATGTAAATAATCACACTGCGTAACATATGGCTGTGGATGACATTTTATCTCACCTATTTACATACATATAAATACGTATGCTAATTCTAGTCAAACACTGACATTCATACCCAGTGTTTAAAGCAGCATCGATAAATTCCAAATTTTGAAAACATTTTTCAATCTACATTGACACCTTTGCTCTATATATTTGACCTAGTTATCGTTTGTCCTCTTCCAGTACAAATATCACTATAGGTATCAACAAGTATGGATATACATGATGAAATTTCATCGCTTTTTTATCTTCAAGTGAATGAAACACCGCATAGAACTTGAGCATTGTATATAAAACTTGATATAACTTAGTGTTCACATTTAATAACAATGAACTTCTTCAAAAAAAATCATTTTTCTGTTTATTTAAACACTTAATTACAATTTAATAAGCCTCCTTTACAACCCTCCTTTACATTTATACATGCTTTTCGTTATGTCGTCATGCATATCCAACAACCTTTCAATACAACGATTCCCCTTGATATCAGTTGAAATTTCGTTATCATGGAAATCTCGTTCGTAATAAAAGAATGATACTTGTTTTCATTTCAATGATTATCATTTTTATACCAACATTTTCATGGACAAATACTGTCAGCGTTTCTCCGTTTGTCATAGAAAGTTTTATGCAAACATTGATGTTCCATTATTTCCTCAATGCCATAGATGCCATAATCATTTCAACTCATAAATCTTTTCAGATCAAAAACTGAGCCTTGTCATACTCCTATGATAACGACACTTAACGTGTCGTAACACAGACCCTATGGACCTTTTGAATATTTTAAACTCTATTTCATAGGTAGTCATTCAAGGTGCTACAAATACCACCCACTTTTATCTAATTTGGTGCATGGGCAAAATTCCATTGTTCCTGAAAGAGATTCTTTAAAACTGTTCCTATGTACATTTTGACTTTTAAATGTAAATATTAGGGAACCTTTTGGGCAATAGTCTTGTTATATTCAAATTCTCTGAGCTTTTGTTTATGTTTTCATTATGGATATCCTTCATTGGTTTTTATTTTTTTTTACATTATCTGTGTTATGACGTTATCAATTTGAGCAAACAATCCTCGATGACGTGAATGTCTATTGTCTAAATGATCACAGGCTTTTGTCCACTTTACCCCTGACATGCAAATAACATTAAAAATAGTATATATAGTGGCATTACTTCCTGAATGAAAATCTCTTTATAGTTCAGTCTGACAGTTTTAATGTACAGGTACAACACGATAGGTTAAATCAATACGGTTGTCGAGAAATATCCCTATAGTAATTGTTTGTTATCAAAATCAATGCACGTGCGTGTATCCACGTGACCTTGAGGATTGCGATGATTTCCCTGTAGGTTTATTGTTCTGTATTAGACAATAAGTGTACAGCCAGCTTCTTTTTATAAAGTCTAGACAAACACGACCCAAAACAGGATAAAACAAAAAGAAACAAAAAAAATTACAGATATTACTACATTAAACGAATTCGTTTTCATATACGATATTTAAAAAGTATTCTCTTCATAGAAACAATAAACGTAATAAAACAAACGAAGAATCACCACACGGAGTACATGGAGTGCTGTGAGATACAGACTATAGCATGCTGCGTTTCGATCTCTATATTTTGACGCCATTATGACATCAGGCTTTTGTCAGCAACACCGACATAGAAAATAAAATTGATTATCTTTTAACTCACAACTTCGTGTAGTGCTAAACATAGTTCAAAAGTCAAGTTTGTTTTGATCGGATTCATTTCTATATAAATGGAAGAATATAACCAATATGTGAAATGGTTAAAAATATAAAATGTTTACTTTTTCTGGATACCTATATCCAAGATACTTATCAATGTGATAACTATTATCCAAATTATCACAATCAAATGTATTTTAATGTCAGCGAATCTGATAACACCATTATGTTTCTTGGCGATCAACATTTTGATTTATGTGCAACTAGTTTGAAGATTGTACAAAAGACATACCAATAATAATAGTACATTTTAATTTAGATTTAGAATCCAATACAGTAACGCCAAACGATTAATCAAACTGCATAATTCAGCTGTTTCGTCTTTCTAGGACTCGTCAGTGATGCTTAGGGCCTAAATCTTTAATGATCTCCAACCAATAGTGCATTGCTATAAATATTGTCTGACACAAGACCGGATGGCGAACAATTTTACTGTTCTCGACCCAAAATACTGAGCTACAATAAATAATCAAGTACATGTCACATCAACGCAAAATGATGATGATGTTAAATCTATTTGACCTTTTGACGTCCAGCTTAATCAAACAATCACTGACTTGGACCTGTTAATTGTCCAGCTTAATCAAACAATCACAACATTGGACCTGTCAACCGTCCAGCGTAATCAAACAATCACAGACTTGGACCCGTAAATCGTCCAGCTTAATCAAACAATCACTGCATTGGACCTGTTAATCGTCCAGCTTAATCAAACAATCACAGAATTGGACCCGT